AGCGTCAAGGGCATGGGGACAGGTGGGAGGGTTCTGGCCCCTGGAGAGCTCAGCCCTACAGCAAGCCCCCTGCACGGCCGCAGAGTGAGGCCCTTATCTCGGGAAGGGGCATCTCGGCGGCCTCCCTGCAGGAGGCCTGTGCTGGGGCGGGAAGACCACGTGCCAGGAGCAATAGAGGCCGTTTCCACCTGCAGGAAGCAGTGTAAGGCACGCTGCCGTCGAGGCTGCCAGACACGCGGGGCTTGACACGGCGGCAGCAGAGGAGACCGGACGGCCTCTGAGTGACTCCGCAAGCGGGGGTTCCCGGCTTTCTCGGGGGAAAGTGTGGTTTCCTCACCCAGAGCCAGTTACAAAGTCAAAAGAGTTTCTAGACAGAACACGGAGCTGCGTACTCTCTGACAGGCAGTGTCGTTATTTAGAGAGAGATGCAGTGGTACCAGCCTGGCTTTCGCTGCTGAGAAAACCGTCAGGCAGATATTTCTGCCAGAGGCTCTTCCTTAACGTGTGCAGTGAACCCGATTCTGAGAGCAGCTCTCCCCCTCTGAGCAGTGTTTACAGCCCTGGCTGGCTACCGTGTCTGTCTGGTGAAGTCTGCTCGACGCGTCTCTAACAAGTGCTGGAGAATCAGCTTCCCTGAGACTTAGCGTCTTAAGGACTGTTGGCCCCTGTCGGCCCCTGTCGGCCCCTGTTGGCCCCTGGCTCCCGTGAGGTCAAGGCCTTGGTTACTGTAAATGCCAGCAGTAGGTGCCCGCAGCTGTCGGGAGATCAGCCTTTTGCTTTGTAAGCTTGGGAGTCTCATGTTTGTTTTAGTTTTTACTTTCGTTTTGGACCCTCCAATGAAAGCTTGTTACAGAGTCACTGACTTCCGTCAGCTGAGCTACTGTACCCGTGGGCAGCCAGCGCTTCCCTGGAGGGTCGGGGCTCCCACGGTGCCCTGGCTTTGCTCACCTTCCTGTCTCCCTGAAGCTGCACCAAAGTGCCTGGAACATGTGGGGTTCCACCGTCCCAGTGCATGGCGCGATGCACTGGGGCCACGAAGAGGCTCCAGCAGAACGTTCCATCCACGGCAACATGAAGGGTGGGTCTGCAGTGCAGCGGCAGCCTGGGTTCTGTTCAAGGCCACACGTGAAGGAGGGCGGGGAGAGAGATGACAGTGTCAGGCGGGTGGGACTGTGGCCTCCCCCCGAGCGGGGCGAGTCTGGAGGCTCAGGGGTGCACCAGCTCCAAGAGGGAGTCGGGAGCCTGCCCTGCGGCCCCCCACGGTGGGAGGATCCGTGTCCCGTGTGCGATTGTGAACGTGAAGATGATTTGCTAGAAAGCGGGCCCATCCTCGCGTGCTGGTTTCTTTGGAAAAACCGAAGCCAAGCAAAACCAGACAGCTGTGCTGTGATGCTGTCCTGGAGAGTGTTAGCAGCTCCGCAGCGTCCCTTCCTCCCTATGGAAAAAAAGCACAAAGCAAGCTGGCTTCAGTTTTCTCTTTACTTGCCTCTCTGTAAAGGAGGAGGTACCACGAAAGGCTCTTTCTGTTTTGCTTTTCCTGAAACCATAGGAGGCCTGCATCGTACTCCCTGCAGGCGGCCCGCAGAGGCACACGCGAGCCCGAGATCCTGAGCCAGTGTCACTCTGAATTTTGTAGGCGTTTGTCCTGATTCATTATTCATGTGAATAAAATGCCCAAGAACAGCCTTCACATCTCCACTCAGCCTACCCACGAGAAATAACAGTCTACACAAGCATCGGAAGCAGAGAGGCAATTGGTGCTTCTCTTTTTGAATTCTGTCCATTGGCACCAGCAAGCAGAAGTTCCCAGGCCGGCCGGAAGCGCCCCCTCTACCGAAATGGTTATTAGAAGTTAATCTACGAAGTGAACACTGAGAAATGTATCCAGGATTGATGGGTGAGCAGAGCACTTTAGAAATAGGCCTGTCTATCTCAGGTAGGCTTTCTTGGGAAATTGCTGTCGTTATTTTATCAAAAAGAGACAGAAAAAGGAAGAGAAGGACTTTCCTCGGGTCTGCGGTGAGATGCACAGTCAGGTGCATTTCCCTGATGGCCTCGAAGCCCTTTTTCTCACAGGGCCACTAGTTTGTTTAGATAGTTTGATGATGGTTGGATTATCAAAGTTAATGCAGTATTTTTAATATTTTTTATTTATTTTGAAATAATTGTTAATTTCAGACTTGCGGAAGAGTTGCAAAGGCAGTATAAAGAATTGCTGCATCCCCTTCACCCACATTCCCTCAGTGCTACCATTTCAGCACATTCCCTGTGTCATTCTTCCCCTGCACCTCTGTGAGGGCGTGTAGGCAAGGACACACATGTACATATTTTCTTTTCTGAACCATTTGAAAGTAAGTTGCAGACTTACACCTAAATAATGCCTCTTTACACCCAAATAATTCCATGTGTATTTCCTAGAACTAAGGACATCCCATGGCACTGTATTCTTTTGCTAATTGCTCTGAGAAGTTATTTGTACGGGGTAGCAGCTCTCCGGGTCACAGGAGAAGACGACCCCGGAGTGGACAGCAGCCTCGGGCCGCATCTAATCAGTTCTCCCAGGTGGCAGGTGGGGGTTCATCCTCTTGACCTTTCCGTGGAACCAACAGCAGTGATGTTAATTAAAGTCAGGATTCTCAAGGCTCAGGGAGCTTCTCTGACAACATACGGACACTAACCAGCCTTGGGAGACTAGAGTCTGCCATGTTATGATGTGCTGAGGTGGGATTCAAGCCTTGAAACACGCCTAAGACAGCACCTTCTCCTTGGTTAGAGGCAGGATGTCTTCCTGTTCCTTGGTAATTATGCTCCCAGATGCTTTTCTGCTTGAAAGAGAAATGGGAAGAAATGAGACTTTTGAATAATAATTATCAATACGAGTAAGTAGCGCTCTCGCAGGGCTCAGGGAGCTGCCGGTGGGGAGTCACGGGGAATGCAGGCCCTGCGGGCCTCTGGCAGAGGGAATGGACCAGTCCGGTACCCATGGTCCGGAGTGAAGGCCCCGTGATGCTGGGCATGACAACAGCCACTCTTGGAAAAGCGGCCTTGAACGCCCTGAAGCTGGCCGTGCGTGTAAAGAAAGACCAGGTGGCGTGCGTGTTCTCATTCCAGAGGATACGGGCCACGGCAAGCCAGAACCTTTGCCCTCAACCACACGGGGCTCTCACCTGTAGGAACCTAACCATTTAGTGTGTCTGTCTTCAAAGCCGCCTCCAGGCCAGAAGTGGCCTTTCCTGAGAGGTGCTCTGAGGCGGCAGGTGAGGGGAGCCCTGTTTAATTTTGTCTGAGAAAATAGGGCCTGTCTCCAGGGAACGCTGGCAGGAGGTGAAAGAGGCCCCAGTCCCTTTTTTAAAAAATTACTGTTAAAACACAGTCTCCTTGCAGCGAAAGAGGCGGTTAGGCGGTAGAGAACAGGATGTGAGCTGCAGGGGCGGGATGTCCCTCTCCCGCGGCCCACCTGACACCTCTGCCGCCTCCCAGGAAACTGCGCGCGTGCGTGAGCCCACACACCGTCCCGCGCTGCTCACGGGGCGTGTGGCCTCCTTTGCGAACCCTCTCCGGTGCCCATTCTCCTTCAGACTTCCTGCACCGAAATGCACTGTTCAGGGGGCGCCCAGGCCTTCGGCGAGCACATCTCCAGGACCCTGGGTGACGCAATGCGCAAACTAACCTCACTTCCTCCTGTAACCCTCGGCGTGTGCTCCTGCCGCGTTGCTCCTGCACGGAGGCCCCCCCCCCCCCCCCCCCCCCCCCC